GGGGGGGGGGTGAGCAGTGGGAAGGGAAAGAGGGAAGTTCTAGCACGACACTACAATTGACTTGGAGTGCCTTCGGAGAATGAAGATTTTGACCAAGTGCTTCAGAAGGAGGTGGACGCATGGGCCCAGTAGCAAAAAGAAACATCGCAAGCCGACGTTGGGAACGTAGGGCTGGAGAAGGAGTTCACTGAGGACGAGGTTGAGGCGTTTGTGAACAAGCTGCAATGCCACAAAGCAGCAGGGGCGGATGGGATAGTCAACGAGTTCATGAAGTTTGGGGGGAAGGGGATGATCCAGCTGATGGTACTGCTGTACAATTGGGTGTGGAAAAACGAGTATACGCCAAGTAGATGGAGGGAAGGAGTGGTTGTGAACNGTAAACTTGATAGACTTCATAAGTCGCGAGGGAAGGGATTGCGGTTCCCTTCTCGCGATTGAAATATCTCAGGCAGGAACCGCAGGAGGGGGTCCGATCCCCCCCTCCTATGTGACCCCGGTTTAGTCGTCTAGCAGGTAGAAGTGGAGGATAGAGGTCAGAGGGGCAGACGACAGAGTCCGACAATGGGAAAAATAAAATAATAAAGGCATTAGTGAGGGCCAAGCAGGGTTGCGAAAGAAGAGGAGGTGCGTAGACCACGCACTCACGGTGGGGAGAATCATCCAAGGTAGAAAGAGGGCGGAAAGCCGACGTACTGCTTTCTTCCTGGACGTGAAAAAGGCATNATCCAAGGTAGAAAGAGGCGGGAAAGCCGACGTACTGCTTCTTCCTGGACGTGAAAAAGGCATACGACACCGTGCGGAAAAATGGGCTGTGGAAGCAATTGTCCAAGTACGGGATCAAGGGGAAAATGTGGAGAGAGCTCAAGAAGACGAAAGAATGTACGAAAAGCGCGGTCATGCTAGACGGAGCACTGTCTAAGGTATTCGACGGTGAACAGGGGGTACCACAAGGTTGCACGCTGTCCCCAACATTGTTCCAGGTGTTGATCAACGATCTCTTGGAAGTCGTAGACGCAGTCCGGAAGCGAGTAAAAGTAGGGGACACGGAAACTTCGGTTTCGGGAATGCTCTTTGCGGATATTTTTCTTGGTATGTCGGACACCCCCGTGGGACTGCAACTGCAAATCGACGCGGCGAAGAAGTCTTCTGTTAAGTGGAGATTGTCTGCGGCCGTTAAGAAGAGTGCTGTCATGGTATGCAACGAGAAAAAGGAGGAACCAGTAGAAAATAGATGGAAGTGAGGGATCGAGGAGATTGCAGTAGCGGACCAGTACACATACCTCGGAGTAGAGATCGCAAAAGACTGCTCGTGGATCAGCACACATGTCCAAGGTAGCGGAAAAGGGCAAAGCACGAGCAGGGAAGCTGCATCCAATACTCGCAAACCGGCACCTCGATACACGCATCAAATTGACGGTTCTGAAGAGCATAATCGTACCGCCGCTAGAGTGCGCCGGAGAAGTATGGGAAGGAAATATGAAGGAAGTGAAAGAACTCGAGGCGGCGTAGATGAAAGCAGCGAAAATTATCCTCGGATGCTCCAAGCGCACAAGTAATGCAACCGCTAGTGCAGAGTTGGGGATCCAATCCCTACGGTCGGGAAGAACCACGAGGAAGCTGACATGGCAGTGTCGCATGTGCGGGATGGGAGAGGAGAGGTTGCGGAGAATAGTATGGGAGGCAAAGTGGGCAAACAAAAGAGGGGTAGACAACCCATGGAATGGGTCAAGGTTGTAGAGGACGTATGGAAGGGGCTCGACATCGACGAAGATGAAACGCTGGAAACGGAGGGTCTAAAGGGATTCAAGGAGAACAAATCTGTTGCTTGTGCCGAGAGAGAAGAACATAATCTAAAGAAATATCAAGGATAAGGAGGGTCTAGAGGTGTACGGAATGTTGAAGGAAGGAATAGGGACAAATCTTAAGGTAAAATTCAAGACCCGGGATATAGGCCTTCGAGAACGTCGACGAAGATATAGGACGGTGGACGACGAAGACGACGAGTTTAGATGTGATTGCGGATCCGAGTGCGAAGACGGGGGTCATGTAGTCGCGGAATATCAGTGGTACGAACAGGAGAGGGAAGTGTATGTGACTGAGCTGGGAAAAAAAGAAGGGGAGCACAGGGAGATGTTTGAGGCATGGAATAGAGAGGAGAAGACGGTAGCTGTACTGGGGCATAGGAGGTGGGTTGAAAAGGCGGGAAGTGATATCGGTAGAAGTGATATCGTTAGGATAGACACACTAGGGAAGACCTTTTTGAGCCACCTTTGGCAAAGTAGGAAGGAACGATTGGCCATCGGTGATCGGTCCTGTGGGAACAATGCTCCGTCCTCTCGAGGACGTGTGGTCAATGATTTAACGGATAAGGCATGCAAAACATAAGAGTACGCCCCCCCCCTCCCCCCCCTTGTCTATTGCAAATTTCATGTAGAAAAAAATGATTGACTGCCCTTTCAGTACCTATATTTGGACAAATTGCAGATTGAGGTGATGGCACGCTGCCTCTGGCGCAAGGGTTTCCCTTCATGTCAAATCAACCGTTGCTGGGGCAGGATGCATCGGAAGTCATGTTTGATGAAATGAGGCGCGGAAAGGCCAAGGAATCCGCTCAATTTTTCTCTCCAACACGCCCGTGATGGAATGAAAGGCTCTCAAAACACGGTGCCGGCGATCCACACGTGATCATCGGGCGGCGGCGATTACCCTCTCTTAGCGACCAAACAGATGCAAGACAAACAGGGCAACGGTCCTGACGGGACTTGTTGTTCCTCCCAATTTATGTTGGCAAAATCCATTGGGAGTAGCCGTGAAGGGGGGAGCACACAACAGGTGCAGCCCATAATCCAAGACAGCTAATACACTCCTCTGAAGGATCGATAGTACTCAGCACACAGTCTGCCGAGGGGCAGAAAGTCTAAGACAGTTGCCGCTCGAGGGATTGTCAATTTCAATTCCAGTTCATCCATGGCGTTTACTCCGCATGGCTGACAACGGGATGTATAGATAGGAGCCACGTTCGTTCCTCTATCTTCTATTATAGTAAAAGAAGGGGGACCGCAGAACGTTACAGCAGGGATTATAGCGAATGGGTATACAAATGGTTGCTTGCAATCTTGTTTTGAAGTTCGAAGTGATTGACGAAACCGAAAAACGGTGGAAATGGTGTAAGCACATGGAGGATCTGATGGATTGAGTGCCGTAAGCAGTAGGCAGAGGCGTGGCACACGTACACACACGCCACAGACAAAAACTCACCAAAATAAATGATACAGGTTCGCGGGTTCGATTTCAGGGACTGCAAGGAAGCGTGGGTATGCACGCCTTGGTCAGATGTTGTATGTGTCATGAATCGCAGGGCCGATAAGCAACGTGTGGCCCGCACTGAGAAGCGAGCATGGAGTCCACAAGTTGGACGCTCGCGACCCACTAACCGGGGAGGTTTTGCATTGCTTGTTGCTGGCGGGCAGGCAAGATTTGTTGGTAACTATCTGACAGACGCGCCACCACCCCACTGTAGGAGCTTGGCAGTGAACAAATTCAGCCTAAAAAATTTCCCGATCTAACCCATAAGAACAGGTGCTCAGGTCCGGCGTTGTGTTGTTCCTACTGCAGAACCCGCAGGGAGCATACAGAAAGAACCACGCCCCCAAACTGCGGCGCCTGCAAGATAACAACGCAAATAGGTGGCGTGCGATCCAACATATGGTTGAAGATAGATTACGAGGAGGTTGTTCGTTGGAATCACATACGCAACGAGGGTTGGTTGGTGCCTGCGTACAATTCACGTACCCCTCGTCGCGTGTGTGTGTCACTATGGGTGCATGTAGATAGCAACATGCCTGTTAGCCCTTGAGACACTTCAGCAGCTAGATGAAGCTTCAAACCTGTTAGGCAAGAGGCGACATTCTTGATCAATCCCGAGATTTCTCGAGAACCGTGGAATAGCGATGGGTCTGGCCGTCGACGGTTCATGATATGACCCGATTCAACTTTCAGGGTCTGGACAAACCGTTATCTGATTCTTAATGTGCGGTGAGTACGGTAGCGACGAATATGTGACCAGAGGATGGGGGAGGAGGGGGGGGGGGGTACTCATAGTCTTGCATGCCGTAGTCGTTAGACCATTGACCTCGCATCCCTACAAAGCCGGGACGGAGCACGCCGGGTTCTCACCGGACCAGGCTCTCACATCACCNTTCACTTCCAGAGACAGTTGTAAGAACTGGGTAACTGCCTCGAGGGTGCTTGAACATTTTAACACAACGTGGTGCGATCATCCCCCTTGCGCGGAG